CAGTGCATAGCACAAGCCAGGAGTGGACTGAAAATTAACAACTCTGTATCTCCATAAACCTGTTCAAACCTTTAATAAGTTTGGTTAAAATGAATTTCATTATCCTTTCTATCACAGAAATATTTTCTTATTTTAATTTTTACATATAAATCTTTTACTACTATAGTACCTTTTAAATTCAGAAGACAATTTGCAATTAGAGCAGGATTAGAGCAGGATTCTGGGAAGAATAGCTGGATACTCAAGTGAGGGTCCAATGACCCTTCTTATTTCCCCTTTAATGAAGGAAAAAACCATCAGCAAGCCCAGTTGTGATGACCATTTGTAAGCAGGCACAGCTGGAATCATTAAGATGATAGTTCTTTGACTCAGAGAGTTATGTACATAGATTAAGATAAAGAGTTAACATTACCCACGTACACATTGTGCTTCTAGTTCCCAGGTAGGCCTTATAGTTTAGAGAGTGGTCTATCGAAGAAGGTGTATAAACACAAGGTAAAGAGAAGCAACTGGCACCCAACCTCCAGCATAATCACTTATGGAAAACTGTACTATAACCCCACTCAGAATTTAATAAACCTGTTCAATAATATTCATAAACAAATTTACCAAGCAATTAAGATTTTACCTCAAGCCTTGAAGGAGGTTTTAAATGACCAAGTCTCCTTATTTAGAGGTATTTTAAATAGATTTGGAAAATGTTTATTTTATATAAACATATCTAAATGCAGAGATAAATTGTACCCTGGAGTAGAGGCAATCATTTTAAAATGTATATTCTTAATAGGAACCATGTTGTAATTTAACAATTTCAGCTTATATTAGAACTTACTTACAAGTCAATTTGATATCTAGTAAATTATTATTTACTAACAGTTCCCTTAGTATTAAACATAAGTTTATACATTCACAGCAGTCTCATACAATAAATACTGTGTTTATATACAATGTCATGAAAAACCACTTTTTAAAACCAAGACTGATTACCTTGATGAAATTCTAATCAGATGTATATAAAAGAAACTCTTAAAAACCAGCTGTACTTTACATATACATCCATACATACACATATATAATATATTATATATGAGAATATCACCTCAAAAATGGCTGGGCTGAACAAGGCCATACATATTGATGCTAGACATGAGGACTTTCACTTGAAGAAAGCACTTTCAAAACTATCATTTATATTTCAATACAGTAAATATTTCTAACTGAGTTTCAGACTCAACAAGTGATGAAAAACAAAATCATACATTTCATTTGCACTCAAAACAAACCATAGCCAGAAGTTACAGTATGATTAAAACAAGCTAATGCTTAAACAGTTTTCATTAAAAAGTGGAGTATAAGAAAACAGTTTTCATGAGTATGATTCAATTATAGGTATCTACAGTTAACTCTTTCCTATAGTAGCATGAAGGAATTTAGAAAGTATGAGAGGTGAAAGCAAAAGAGCACAGCACATAGGGTCAGAGGAGCCAGCATGCCAAGTCTGCAGGGCTGGAGGTCTGTGACAGCAACAGCTCAGGCTCAGGGTGGTCTTGTGTTTCCGACGAGGAAATAGTAGGCATGAATGGGGGAACACTTAAGGAAATAAGTACAAAATCATATCACTGCCAGAGTCTAAGAACACATTCTCAAAGAAACAAAAGCACCGTTGCCATGTGGCCATCTCCAGGAGCCTGGCAGAGCTTTTCTAGGTATCAGAGACTTTTTTCATTTAAGCCAAACTAAGATTCCTGGTTTCAGTTATGGATAGGAGTTTAGGAATAGCTAACATAAAGGCTGTTTAATGTAGATTTAAACATGAGAGTTAAAGGGAAGGGTTGCTCCAAGGGAGAAAGGTATAGAGCTATATCTAAGCCAGCAGAGTTTCCAGGGATGAAAAGTATCCCTTCCCCAAACAGGCCACATCTGCCTGCATACAGAGCTGTTCTGTAGGAAACAGAGGACAGGGATAAGACCAAAAGGACCAGGCAGGAAGATCAATCTCAGAATTCATCTTCAGCTCTGAAGATGAGTTAACATATTAAATCTATAACCAACTGGAGTTCATTTTTTTCAAACCATTTCAGGCCTTTAGAGGTCTGAAAGCAACACAAACCAGACCAAGAATGTCAAAATCAAAATACTTCAAAGCCAGCAAACCAAAGAGATACTTTAAAGCAAACATTATAAAAACAAACCCAAACCAAAAGGTATGTAACAAATAAGGTCCTTAAACAACCAGTTCAGATACTGTTTAGGTCTTTGAGACAGGATCTCCCTGTTACCCCAGCTGGCCTGGAACTCACTATATCTAGACTTAATTTCAAACAATTATGATCTCACATAATAATTATATGTCATTGTCTTAATATCTATTGACTTCAGGCCAGGGCAAAATCCCCTGTATCTGTAAAACAGTCTTTAAGCCAGAATCCTGGCTCAAAGCAACTTCTGCATCAGATGTAATGGAAAGAAATGTGAAAGAAATAGCGGTATCCAAACTGGGGTTAGAATTTAGCATAACATTCATTCACAAGGTTGTGTGTTTGTGTGTGTGTGTGTGTGTGTGTGTGTATGTGTGTGTGTGTGTGTGTACTTGCATATATGGGTGTATTTATAGAAATTAATATAAATTGTGGCAACTTTTGGGAGAAGGAAGAGAAAAATAAAAAAGAAAGCACATTGTTAAAATGGTTCTTTAATGACTTAAAATAATTATTAGTTTACCATTGCTAAAACTGAGTGTAGAAAACTAATATATATTGATAATAGCATTAGTTTCTTTAAAGCCCAACATTGATGTTACAGCAGGGTACCTGTGATACACAAACTCTCACATGAAGAAGAGATCCTCCTGCCTCTGCCTGCTGGGTACTGGGATTAAAGGCATGCGCCACCACATCTGGCTTCAGATACTGTTTCGTATAAACAACTAGCACTTGAAAGTTTTGTGAAACATTTAATAAACCTAGAGACATTATCCAACAAATTTAAAGATATTTAGGGTACCCAAATCTATAAACCCTTTGAATGTACTATCAAAATATTATTTTTTATAAATTTGCACGTGTATTTTAATTAGGCATGCTAACATAAATCAAAGTAAAACCAATAATCTTGTGCACAATAAATGAATGAAAATAATAACTGAAGTGGCCAGTTTGCTTTGATGGAAATATATAAAGACAATGATCACAGACATATATGACAGAATTATTTGAGATCTCTAAAACATGACCTGAAATCAGATGTTCAATATACACTCTAGCACTCTTAGACACTCTCTGACCCATGACAAACACAAATATAAGACCAAAACACAGAATAAGAAAAGCACAGACAAATAACATCAGATTGTTGCTAAGTCTAAATTCCAGAAAAATGACCCTACATTAGACTTTGCATCCAGGTGGGTCCAGGGGCATTCCCTCTGGTATCCAACTATGGGGAAGTTTTGTGGCATCCAACTTCTCATCTAGTATGTCTGATCAGTATCCAGAACCATATGGTGGAAACTGCCAGCTAGCCAAAACAAGACGAGAAACCAAAACGAAAGTGGTTTCTCGAGGGCACTCTTACCTTGGTAGTGGTGTGGAGGGAGAAACCGGAGGGCTGGCTGGGGAAGCAGAAGCAGCTGAGATTGATGCAGGTCCCTTGCAGGGGAGTTTCCCGAAACTGGCAGGCCCAGTAGTCCTCTGGATCTCAGTGGGACCTCCAAATGTTATATGCTGGATTCCAAATAAAAACTACCAACACCACTTAATTGAAAGCAGCAAGGTAAAGTTTTATTACAGCCGACCCAGCTGTCTATGTCAGGAATAGAAGCAGCCTTGAACACCAGGTGGCCAGAATATTTACAGGAAAACAGAAAGCAGAACAAGTGGGCCAATCAGGTTTATACAACACAGCAAAATTTGGACATAGCAAACTTCGAATTTACTAATCAACTATCAGTCACTGTGCAGACACGGGCTTGGGTAAGTGAAGCAGGTTTATAGAAGTGAGATAAGCAGTTAGCCAACTGCTGGCCTAGATTATAGGTAAGAGAAGCAGGTTTAGATAAGTGGCCTAGATTACAATACCCTGTGGCACGTGGTCAGGCCATTTCTCGAAATTCAATGTTGCTTCTCCCTTCTAGGTATCTTTCATAAATAGGGTAAAGGGTACGTCTCCTGAAATGGCTGCTTTGGGCAAAATGGAGTAACTTAGACTAGGTTAGTTTAGCTGAGATAGTTCACCTTTAAAAATATTTTAGTAGTTCTCACTGTTGAATGTTAGCATCACTAGCCATAGAATCTGTCTTCTTTTAATGTGTGCCTTAAAATCCACCATCATCTTAAGATTCCTTTGTTTCCAATTGGAGAAAGGTCTTAATTGTTAAATGGAGTGAACATGTAGATGGGGTTTTAAGAACAAGGCAAGCAGGCATATGTGTATGACTATTTTGTTTCACAAAGAGCATAATTTATTTCCTTTCAGTTTTTGCACTTAAAGTAACCACAGGAGTCAGAACCCCATACATACATAGAAACACTTAGCATTTGCATTTTTCTTTCCTACAAAAAAGAAAATTCATGAATGAATTTGTTGGCAGTACTAACAAAGACCAATTTGTACAATAATTGAAATGTTGATTTCTGTCAGCAGATGGAGGTTTACAAATTAATCTTCTTGTCTACATTGCAGATATTTCTTATTTTAGTAACTCTTAGCTTGTCCTGAGTTTTCAGTACTGATGTCTAAAATGTGAAAGAAGAAGACTTAATTAGCAAGGTCAATGAAGAGTGATGGTGTCTAGAACTTTCTCAAACCATACAACATGTACTTGTAGGCCCTTCTGATTAATTTAATTTCTATAATAAACTGCATAAGTTTTGAAATACATCCCAGAGTCAACATTAAATGAATAAGCAATGATTTGTTGTTCAATATCCTTGTGTAGCAAATAAAGTTTGGAACTCATACTTCACTTTGGAATAATCTTTCTCTTCAATTTGATTTCCCAGGGAGCGAGCCTTGAATACAACCCAGCCTGGGTCCCTTCAGCTTACCGTGGGAAACCTGAAACCAGAAGCCATCTATACCTTCAGAGTTGTTGCCTACAATGAGTGGGGACCAGGGGAGAGTTCTCAACCCATCAAGGTGGCCACTCAGCCTGAGTGTGAGTATTAAAAACAGAAAGCCTGTCTTTTGAAACATTTATTTGCATCTAGGGTATCCCTGAGTCCTTTCATAGAAATTTTTGAGATGACAAGATGGAAGCAAGATTTTTGAAGCAATAAGTTTAACTTGAGTACTTTTAAAGGTGAGCTGATATTTAAAAAAAAAACAGCTACCTCTGTCAGACAATAACAGAAAATTATCAACTGTGAAAACTAATCCATCCCTCTAGCCCAAATGTTCATCTCCTGAGAAAGTGGCTTACCTTGCCTAGCACTATTCCACCATCACCCTCTTCCATTAAGTTTTCAAATTTTCTGTTTGTCTATAAAGAGTAAAGTATATTTAAAGGGAAAAATCAATTGCATAGAACTTTTAATTTCAGGTAATTATTTAAAAAAAACTAAACCTGTACTAACTGTACCAAGAAGTACCCAGAGGTGAACTGAGACTCAAAAAATGTGGGAGATTGCTGCTATAGGGCAACATCATCCTCTAACTGTGATCACTATAATAAAATACTAGATCAGAAAGGAAAGCAGTTAATCACTCCAACAACTTACAATTAACTTACAATTTAGTGATGTCTGTTTTATTAGATTCCCAGTTTTAATGTGAAAAACAGTTCTTTGTAAATTTTTCCTTATACATATTCGAATTATTTTAAAAGCTGAATTCTTGATGAGCAATTTGCCAACTTTTATTTAAAATATTATTATATAAAAGTTAAATTCATTAATGACTACTTATAAAAAGTATGTTATATAACATACTGAATTTTATCTATGCCTTTTCAATCAATACTGCCAATGCAAATATATTTGTATTCCTGATTCCTGTGTACTTTATGAAAAGCTCTGATTTAAAAATCCTGAAGATATCATCCAGTTCTATGACTGCTTTTTCACCTTTACCACTTGAAGTGTCTATAGCTTGTATAACATCTTCATTGAACTGGGTGATAAATCTTCAGAATTTTTAAATCAGCATGTTGAAAATGCAAGAGTGAGCCTGCAGTGTCACCTGAGTGCTAATGGATGGGAAACTACTGTTGGCAGAACCTCTTCCATTTGACCTCTTGTCTAAGGTCACAAAGACAAAATTGTAATATTTATTCAGGAAAGGAGAAGAGAAAGAGGTTTATAATTCTTGCAAATATCTGCCTCATTTAAACAAAACCCAGGTAGAAAGTTTAAAAGCAGAATAACAAATACATTTCAACAGTCATCAGGCATATAGGATCCTGAGGAGGATCAGAAGTGATCCATAGGAACAAGGGTGAAATAGAAATGCAGAAGCCCTTTATTGGAAACTTTATTTACAATGCACCTCCTGCCATCATCTCCGGAGTCCTTCTAAACATACACCCCATATGAATGCTCTCGTTTTTCACCCACAAAGCTTGCTCTTATCTCATGGTTTTGTTCTTAAAAAATGTGTTAATTTGTCAATTTGAATAACTAGATGAAAGGTCATAAATTTGTCTCAGCAGCTGAAGGCGTTTGGCACAAAGCCTGATAACCTGAGTTTGAGCTCTGGGTTCTACATGATGGAAGAAGATAACAGACACCTGCAGGTCTTCCTCTGACTTCCACATGTATGCCATGGTGCATGTGGGTGTTTCCACAATACATGCACATGCATTATGCCCACACACAATATATAAAGGAATTATAATAAATTAAATATAATTAGATAAAACTGTCATGGTTACACATACCTGTGATCCCAGTACTTGTAAATTTGAGTTAAGGGAATCATTGCACTTTGACTGTTAATGCATTTGACTCATCTGTTTCTTCATGGACTTACCTATTATAGTTCACATATACTCAATTGCTTTATGAATATTTGACAGGATTAATCAACAAAATTTAGTAAAAAACATTAAGCAGGCATGCATATATGTAATGTATATTTCTTATTAAATACACTTTATATATTGAGTATACCTATATAACACATTCTATAAAAATAATATATATTAACTTGTGACTAGATATGGTGGTTCACACCTGCACTCTCAAAATTTAGGCAGCTGGGGCAGGAGGGTTGGCATGAGTTCTAGTGCAGTTGAGCTATAGTTAAAAATCTGTTTTCAAACAGCCATAGAGATTTCCCCTGAGCAAGCTTACTTTTGTTAAACCATGTGTTTCCATTTTTATTTTGCTTTTAAAAATATACCTAGAGGGACTGGAAAGACGGCTTGGCAGTTAAGAGCACTAGTTGCTTTTGCAGAGGACCCAGATTCGATTCCCAGCACTCATACAGTGACTAAGAACCATCCATAACTCCAGTTCCAGGGAATCCCACACCATCTTCAGGCCTTCATGGGCATTACATGCCACAGGTGCACCTACTCACTTGCAGGCAATGCACTCACACACATAAAATAAAAATAATAAACAAAGTATTTTAAAATACACCTCAGGTCCTAACCGTGGCATTAAGTATATATAATATACACATACACACATTTATATGATAGACTTTATACTGTACTTACCCTAATATATAGATGTAAAAATATGTATACATACAACTAGATATGCTTACTTTCTTAATATACTTACCTTCCTAATATATAGATGCATATGTACATGCTATAAAGAGTGATATACTACATTGTATACATGCTAAATTTATTTTTTATTTTATATGTATGAGTGTTTTTGTCTGCATGTATGTAAGTGCACCCTTGTCATACAGTACCCACAGAGCCCAAAAGAGCACATCGGATCCCCTGGAACTGGAATTACAGATGGATGTTAGCTGCCATGTATGTACTGGGACAGAACGCGGGTCTTCTACAAGAGCAGCCAGTGCTCTTATCTGCTGAGCTATCTCTGTAGCTCCATACATACTATCTTTAAGACCACCTCAAAATCACAAAAAGAAAGCTCTCATACAGTTTTCTAATATTTAAATTTAAATATTGCAATTAAATATGTTTATTTTGAAAAGGTTCTATTTCTATGGAGTATCTGAGTTACTCATGTCTAATCCTATTATTTTCCTACATGTGTTTTAGTGTACTCTTTAGGGCTGACTGGTCATGATTATTTCTGATAAAAACCTGGTTTGGTTAGCCTTGCTTTCTAAAAATTAACACGATATTTCTTCAAGAAATAACATTATTTTGAAGCCTATTACTTTGACAGTTTCCAGGGGGTTTCTTCTCCTTCTGTTTTCTTTTATGCTTTTTTTTTAGCACCATTAATTTGAAATCATGAAGAAGCTTTGCTGGTGAGAGTTAAGGAATGTATTAGTATTCCCTCTGTAAGGGAGTGACTCTAGATAGGCTGACTAGACTCCAGTAGATGAACTTGCACTGAGGTACATCTGCGTACAATTACCTGACAAGATAGGACTTAGCATATTTGCCAGAATGCACAAAATACAGTAGGGGGATCGTAGGGGGTTGAGGAGGGAGGGATCTAAATTTGATTAAGATCTATTATATGAAATGCACAAAACCTCAAAAAAATTTTTTAAAAATCATGGAACACAAAAGCATTTCTTGACATTGACTATTAACAATACTTCATTCTCTAAAATCTTGCTTGTGATATATGGTGTGCCATTTTAATGTAATTATTATTTTATAATTAGAGCGTGTAACTGTCACACAAGCAGACTTAACTATAAGAGATACAAGCAATGACATATTGTGTGGATATGCTTCATGGCTAACTATGGGCCATTTAAGGCATTTTAGAAAAGAACATGTGTGTGATGCACTAACAACACTTATGAATCTCAGAGGCTTCTTGGGGGTAGTAACTTTAACTATGTGACAATAAACAACTCTAATGAAGGAGCATGTAGGATGTTGGTAAGTAGAGCATAAGCAACCTGAGCTATGGCTTTGTGATGGGCAGCTTAAAGAGACGGCTGTGGGTCAGTTAACAGGCTTTATTTTAATCATGTTGGACTCATCCTCTCAGATAGATGACTTCATATTTTCCCTATCAATCATTGATATTCAGAAGGCAGTGGGAGCGAACTTACACGGCACCTCTAAAGCTTGGATGCAGTCTCTAGCACTGAAAACATAAATAGGTAAATAGATACATGAATAAGGACCCTGCCTTATATAGACACTTATTTTACTTAGCAGCTATCATACACTATGATGAAGCAGTTGAACAGCATGCAAGGGGTAGAACCAATAAAGCTGACATGCAAAGGAACTTTACTCCAAACAAGAAAGAGACATGAGAAATGGAAAATCCTTCCATTTTAGAAGCACAATGTAGCTTTGGAAAATTTGTTACTAAGGCAACAGTAATGACCAAAGGATGTTCTATGTATTTTGGTCTTTATTCAGAAAGCTTTATTTTAAGTTGCCACTGTTCTTTCATCAGATGGAGCAAGAATCATTTCTTTTCAGATGATCCTGAGGATTGTCATTGGCTAATTCATCTCTTTCTGAGTAGATTGGTAAATAAAAATAGTTTGTCCTATGTAAGTGGGATGTGCTTGCAAAATATTCTTGAGGGACCAAGACATTTAACCAATCCCTTCAACTCCTTTATACTGAGTACCCATAGCGCACTTGCTTCATATATTGTGGAGATTAGGATGAATCAATTATATTATCGTGATGCTGCATATGTCTTTTATCCTCTGTTGTTAACACTAAATGCCATTTTAGAGGCATGAAAAAATCACTAGGAAGAGGAATGCATCATCTTCTTCAAGATCACTCAATAATATTCCAACTGGTGAGGAAGGTGAGACAGCCCAGATACCCAGGCTCCTCCTCCACCACCTCTTATAAACCCACTTCTTTTGATTTTAGAGGAAATAGGAAGTCCTATTTCATTACGCCAGGGGAGAAAGTTTGTCACTATTTCTCACTAACACAATGATCTTATCTTTTGAAAACACATCCTCACTGGGTGAACATTTAGCGTCTGCTTTTATCCTGTTTTCCTAAATGTGATGTAATAATTGTATACTAGCATATAGCTTTTCTGCAAATTTAATTTCCAGTTT